AAAAAGAATTGAACTATACTCAGTTTTGATCTTGCAGTATTAGGAGTGGGGATGAGAAGAAATTTTTTTAATCTAATTGTTGCTCAAGCTTTCTGGGGGACATGGTAGAAATAAACCCATAAAATCAAGAATATCACAATACAAATATTTAGAATGTAGGCCTTTTGACTGTGGGGAAACGCACATCATCGATATTAAAAAAATTGAATAATTGTTTACCAAAATAAAATAAAATTGAATAACTAAGCACAATGAAGCCAAATTTAAAATCTCAAATATAGTTTACCGAAAGAAAAAAATCTCAAATATTTTATTTTAAAATATAATTTGATTAATTTTTTGAAAAAAACCTTTCCTTTTAAAGGCTATAATTTTGTGTCATTTTATATCTTAACCGTTGATTTCCGTCAATCAATGGTTATAATTTATTGCGATTTAATATTAATTAATAAATTTGACTCAATAAATTATAATCATTGATTGATGAAAATTAACAATTAAGATTTAAAATGACACAAAATTATATCCTTTAAAAGGACAAGTATTTTTCCCTAATTTTTTTAACCCTAAACTAGTTTAAAATGAACAAGTAAAAATGGATTTCGTAAAGAACCTTTTTGTTAAAAACAGCAATACTCTTCACTTTTTAATCGGGCAGCAAAGCGCTGATCAATTGAAAATTTGCCAATTTATATTGAATCTATTTTTTTTTTTTTTAATCTCATTCTTTCTCTCTTTTTTGATTATACAAAAATTAAAATACAATAAAGTTTGCCAATTTGCCAATTTATTTTTAAAAGGTAAACGTAAAACAACACTCCATTTTTTCAAAAGAAATAAAATCAATAACTACAACCACACAAAAAAGTTGTTAATAAAATAAAGGGGGTGTGAATTTCACTTATGTTAGAAACACCCAATAAATAATTATGGTCAGCAAAGACAAAGAATTTCACTTTTATAAGGTTCAAAAATATAAATCAAATTTTTCGTCAATGGACAATATAATTATCAATGCATATTCCAAGAATACATATCCGTAAAATCTTGAAGAAAGGAACAAAACATCGTGCCTTGTCTCAGAATAGCTGAGTTCAGGGTAGTGAGTGCGAATAAGAAAAAAAAAGTTAGAAGAAAACCTCAATTGGAAATAGATGAAAGAAGAAGAAGAAATTAAGAAGAAAGAAATATGCTATCTAGTCATACACGGAAAGCAACTACATATTTTCATCTGTTACCACTGTTACAATTTTAGCCAGGGTCAACTAACAATTTTAGCTAGGGCCCAATTATAATTACTTATATAATTATATACACTAAGGAAAATTCTCACATTTGAAAATTAGGTTTTTGACTATTCTTTGTGTGCAATAACCCAAAACACTATAGTTCAATGGACCTTCGTATTTCATAATTGGGTTTTGGTTTTATCCTTTAACATAACACAACAAATTTTCCTACACTCACAATATTTTGTGGGGCCCACAATTTTTAAAACAAAAAAATAAATAAAAAATTAAGGCACGCAAAACGAATCTCTATAACATTACACAATCACTTTTCCTACAACATAACTCTTATAAAACCCTTCATAATTATAGTCCTGTTATTCATTTGGTTTCATAATTGTTACTTTCAAGGGTTAAGTGTTTGTTCTTTTAAAGGACACAAATTGTGTCCTTTTAGTTTTTAACACTATGTCTTACCAGTAAGACATAGTTATAACATGAAAAATAGTTTTTCTCTCTCTCCACGTCAGCTGAAGTGACTGAGGAAATTAATTTTTTTTCATATTGTAACTATGTTTTACAAGTAAGATATAGTGTCAAAAACTAAAAGGATACCACATTGTGTCCTTTAAAAGAACAAACCCTTTTTTTCTACTTTTAAATGTGTTTATTTGGTTTAATTGAGTCCATATTTTGAAATAAGTCAACTAATCATTTTTGTGATTAAGTTTATAAATCTTTCTTTTTTAAAATAATAGGAATAAGAATAAATAACATAACTGATTAGAATAAAGCAGAAAAAATATACAGGATAAAAAACAAAAACAGGTAAAACACAAAAATAACCATACTATACATGTTCTTTGTTACTTGTTTGCATTTAGATGATTTGTTGTTACTTTTTATTGAGTATTTGATTTTCTATTTAGGTGGTCCCAAATTATAATTTTTACCTTAGTTAATTATAATTAATTATATAATAAGTAAAAAAAAAACAAGCAGGTGCCACTTATCATTATATAGAAAGGTTTAAAACCTTATTCCCAAAACTCCCAAATCAGAATACTCACCTAACGATGAACCTATTGAAATATTTTTCAAAAATTAATTACAATTGGAGTAGCGGTCATGAATCACAGCCTATGATGCACGGACACGGACACGGGACACGGGACACGACACGACACGACACGTTGACACGTTAATTCTAAAAAATGTCATATTTGGACACGTTGGGACACGTTTTGATATTAAATAATATTTTTAATATATATAATATAATTTATATTTAATACATATAACAACTCATAATAACTCATATACTAATCAAATATTCAAATTTCATAACGTAAATATTAAAAAAAATAATAGAACATCCCAAGAGTGTAGAGTGTAGAAAAATTTCATAATGTAATTTTTTTCAAGGAAGATAAAATAAAAAATTAAAGTATAAGAGTCCTAGAGCAGTACATAAAATGAGAAAAATAAATACAATCAAAACGCAGTCATCCACCTCATCGATCCAAACGCAGTCTCATCTCGGATATAGACCGTACAAAGAAACCAATCAACCGTCCTAAACGCCTCTTAGAAACCTAATACACGGATCGACGAAGTGACCTTAACTCCCTTCAATACCTTAAATCTTATCCGTACAAAATAAACACAAAACTTGTGTCTTCAACATATACCCAAAAACCAGAGGGAGGTATCCATGGCTGTACATAAGAAGCATGTGCATGGGTCTCCATTTTTCTTCAAGCTCTACACGGCGACCAACGACCGGCGACGACCGACGACGAAGAAGAGAAGACCCGGACCAGCAACCTGCGCGAAAGAGGATCAGACGACGATGGGGTTCAGACATTTTGTTTTTTATTAAATATTTTTTTATTTTTTTAATTGTAATTTTATTTTTATTTTTTAAAAAAAAACGTGTCCCAAAACGTGTCCATATACATTGACCGCGTGTCGGATTCGGTCAAACTCGCGTGTCCCTTAAGTCAACGTGTCCCAAAAAGTCAACCGCGTGTCGGACGCATGTCCTAACGTGTCTGAACGTGTCCGTGTCGGACACGTGTCGGACACGCATTTTTTCCAAAAAAACACGTGTCCGTGTTTCCTAGATCACAGCACACACTATTAAAAACTACAAGTTAACTTTATGCTCCCGAAGGTTACTCAACAAGTTGACTACCTAAAATCTACAAAAACATCTAAGATCTAAGTTATCTAACTACCCACACTATTAAAAAAAAAAAAAAAAATTCTGATGTTACTCTAGATAACTTTATGTAATGTTCATCGAAACGACGTCGTTTTGGTGTTGAAAAATTAAAAAATTAGAATAATAAAGACTGTTATACCCCTGAAATAAATTAAAATTACAAAAATACTATGATTTCTGTCCCAAAACAACGTCATTTTGATGAACATTAGATAAAATATGTAAAGTAACATAAAAAAAAACAAACCCTTAAAAAAATTTGGTACAATATTATACAATATTGTTATGTTTCGTTTATGAAAAAAAAAAAAAACATAGAGGCTAGCACCTGACAAAAACAGTTAGCGAGATCAGTTGCACCCGATTCTTTATATTTTAATAATTATATAATCAAATTTAATTTTATTCATGGTAGATACTATTGATTATGTTTCCTGACAACGTGTAATTAAAAAATTTATATAGTTGCAACCTTGCTATCCTGGCCAGTGAATGCTACTAAACAACATCGTCTTATGGAAAAAAAAAATGTAAAACTCTTAAAAGTTATCAATTAATCTAAATTAGTATAAAGTATGACAACTAACAAGGTTGCAATTGGCTCACTTGGTCAAAGAATGAATTTATTTTAAAACGAGAATAGCTATTTACTAAAAAAAAAAAGAGGAGAATAGCTATAAGACTAAAAAAAGAAAGTTTAATAGCTTTCACAGAAAACTGCAACATAACATGTGGACATATGGTTGCCCTTTCATATAGTGATAGACAGCTTTGGGGTGCTGTCGGTTTTTGAACAATTAAATGCTAATTTAGAAACTAATTATTAATTTGTGCTACTTTTAAATTATTTTTTAATTTATAGTTGCTTTTGTCATATTGACAACCTTAAACTTTTTTTTTCATCACTAAACACATAAATTTACTTTGCATCATATGAGGTGTCATCTGAATTTATACCTCTTATAATATTTAGAGACGTCGAACTTTCATCCTCTAATGTTAGCAAAAGGACGTAATTATTTAATAAAATTTTCTAAAATAGGGCAGGATCCTTTGACACCGGTGTCAAACTTTAAAATTTGACATCAAATCCTAATCGTTGATTGATAAATTTGATTCCCAATAATTGGAAATTAATGATTAATTGATAAATTTGATTCCCAATAAATAATAACTGTTGATTGACGAAAATCAACGGTTAGAATTTGGTATCAAATTTCAAATTTTGACACCGGAAGTCAAAATATCATATCCCTTCTAAAATTTATGCAACAAAAATCAACATAATCCTTATAAGCTATTTTAATAAAATATACTATCTATATCTATCAATTTTTTACGTGGTTAACAACTAAGACAGGCCATAATGTTGAAGAACTGGAAGGATATTTATATGCCCAAGGCCCAACCAAGCTCACATTGGGCTAAAGTTTAACCCGGATCTGAAACGCAATGAGGGCCCAAATTCGAAGGTACAGAAAAAAGAAAAAAAGAAAAAGAAAAGCATGATCATCGAGAAATGAGAATGAACCGAAGCAGAAGTCATCTCTGTCGCTTTTTGGTGTAGCTAGCTACGCGCTCACTCGAATGCGGTGCAGTTTTTGAGGTGTGGGGTTCTGAAGAAGATACAGTAACGGTTCCAATATGGCGGTGCCGCTTTACGAGACGCGACGTCACGCTTCCAATTACCCTCCTGAACAACAACAGCACCACCAAAACCACCAGGTCAGTGTCTCTTCTCTTTTCTCTTCTGATTCGCATTCTTATTCTCTCAATTTCGTTGATCGTTGTTGGATTTCAGGAAAATGAGAGTAGTAAGGGGAGCTTGCTGTCCTTGCTCTCTGCTCGAGGTACGTGTCGGTTTTCTTTTTGAATTACTGAACAAGTTCGATTCTCGTTTCGTTGAATTCTTATTAACGCTTATTCGGATCCAACTCTCGTGGTTTGAAGGTGTGACTCAACTGAAGGAGAAGTGGACCGAATATAATCAACCGAAGAGACTCAGAAGATTGGTATCGTTGTTTGTTTCCCCTAGAGCCAAGCATGTTGCAGTTGCCGCTGGAAATCGGATAACGATTTTGAGTGAAGAGGATGACTATCAACATTCATGCGCCATTTTCACCAGTGAGTTTCATTTACTCTCTTGAAAATCCTGTCTTCATTGGATTGTATTAAAAAGTGAAAACATGATTTGCAATTGGTTCATTAGGTCCCAGCTTTGGTACATTTAGTGTAGGAGCTTGGTCTGAAGATGATGACGTTCTTGGAGTTGCTGATGACACTGATACACTGTATTTTATCAAATTCAGTGGTGAAGTAATAGCAGAAATTACGAAGAAGCAGTTGAAAGTCTCTTCACCAATCGTTGGCTTATTTTCTGATAACGATTTAGATAAGCACAATTCTTACTTGTAAGTATTTTTCCTTTCTCTGCTTCCCTTGCTTCCGATATGCTGTACTAAAAAATTGAAACGTGATTAGTTTGTCACTGATCTTGAAAATACGGTCATGCTGTCATTGATTGGTAAACTTCCACACTTCAAAACAATGTTGGGAACTAGTAAAAGGGAGATGGAATGTCAATTTGAAATGTTGTATTGCTTGAGGTGTAGGTTCACTGTCATTACATCAGATGGTTCACTTCAGCAAATTGAGATCAGTTATGGACATACGGGCTCTACTTTTCCCAAGTACATTTCTAATCACCGGGGTCATCTCTGCAACAATATTTTCTGCTTTGACCGCCATGATGAACTTAACCTTTTTGTGGCTGTTCACAAGAACGCTGGTATGTTTTTGGTTATTTTCTCAATTATTTTCTATGTTATGTATGTGTCGGTTCTGAATTTAAGTAGTTCATTATGTAATAGACAAATAGATGTAAGTTCTTTTTTACTTTTGACTACTAGGTTAACAAGGGAAAGAAAGAAAAAGAAACAAAGCATCAAAGAGGACATCATAATAAATATTTTTAGAAAGCAAAATAAAGTTCTTGTGCCTTTAGGAACCTTTGCCTAGACTGGTATAAGTTGAGCTGCATTGCTTACAATCTGCTTTAAGCACCTCCATGCCGTGCTTATAGTTTCAAGAACTTTTTTATGATTAAACTATATATTTTCTTTGTCTTATCTATATATGTATAATGCCTGATGTCCTTTGTTTTAATTTTCTTTAGAAAGATATATTGTTCTTATTTTTATATTTCTACTCTACGAAAAAGGTTCTTTTTTTAATTCAGAAGTTGGTTGTTAGCTTCAATAATTATAATTAATTTCATAACAAATATAGGTGGGTTTTAAGCTACTAGAAAATTTAAAGCGTATTAAGTCTATTCTTTTTTCTTTTTTGCGAAATTTTTTCCATGTTTATATTTTCTATATAAAATTAAGGATTCAAACTGTAAAATCGTATTGTATATCACATGGATACTCTAAAGGGGAAGGTGAATTTATTTATTTCTTCGTTTTATTTTGATAAGAGACTAGGTCGTTCAGGCTTCCAGTCAAATTCAAGCCATTATATTTTTCGTTTGGTCATATTCACCTATCTCATGTCTGTACACGGAAATCCATATTTTTTATTACATGGAATAGTTCATTACCGAACTTGTATTATATGATCTTGTGCTTTTTCCCTTATGTTCTCTAATAGTATTTATTCTTTTATCAAATAAATTATTCTCAGAACATGGAGAATAGACTATATATTTTTTACAAGTCATTTATCTTCTTAGTATTGTTGGTCTCAATTCTTCACTTACTAGTTATGCATATATCTTTAGGATCTTGCAGTCTTTCTCTTTGGCATAAAAGTTCAAGTACAGAACTGGAGCAGTTGTTCTCTTTGCAGTTTGAGGGATTATATTTAAAACCAAAAGGTTACAGAGGTCAGCTAACATATCCAAAGGTGCTAATCTCACCACAAGCTACATTTGTTGCAACTCTGGATTTGACAGGGTGCTTGTATATTTTTAAGCTAGACAAAGAAGGCTATACACTCTCCGAGTTTGTCTTGGGAGAGAGAGATGATTCACCAATGTCTGATAATTTATCCAATGTTGGAAGCAAATCTTTTGTGGGTTTTATGGATTTTACTTGGTGGTGTGACCATATCCTTGCCATTGTAGATAGGAATAGTAAGGTTATATTGATTAACATCCTTAATGGTTCAAAAGTTCAGGAAGAGGATCCTGAGTACTTTTTACCTGTTCTAGAAAGAGCACAGAAATATAAAGGCTGTCTTTTTCTTTTAGCGGGTCTATCATCCAAAGAAAGATATAATCCTTCCGATTTTGAATCAACAGATGAGTTGCATCAGACAGAGTGGATCATTGAAGATAGGCTTAATCAATTTCACCTTTCTAGGTTGCTGTGGTTCCTCATTTCATTTGCTGAAAAATCTGTCCCTGAAATGTATGGTATTTTGATTAGCAAGAAGAGATATCAGGCTGCTCTGGATTTTGCTGATAGTCATGGATTGGATAAAGATGAAGTTCTGAAGTCACAGTGGTTGAATTCTAGCCAAGGATTGAATGAAATAAATATATATTTGTCAAATATTAAGGATAGAGGTTTTGTACTTTCTGAATGTGTTGATAGAATTGGACCAACAGAAGATGCTGTGAAGGCTTTGCTGGCTTATGGTCTCCGCATTACTGACCATCATAGATTCTCAGAAGTAAATGATTGTAATTCTAGTAAAGTATGGGATGCTCGCTTGGCCAGACTTCAAATTTTGCAATTTAGAGACAGGCTGGAAACATATCTTGGAATAAACATGGGCAGGTATCCTCAGAGTTATGGACATCAATTTTGATAAAGTAAATTATTTTATTATTATTTTTCTATGATAGTTTTTTTAAAAAAATTATATTTTTTCTTTTAAAATTTGTTTATTATAAAAGAAATATTATTAAGAAGAAGAGAAGAAAGTACAATGTGTTGGAGGATAGGGAGTCCTCTTTAATAAAGAGCAAAACAAAAAAAACAGCAAAGAAATATGGACTAGAATGCTGCACTATGAATATCTTAAGTGAAGCAAAGTTGCGAAATACCTCAACATATCTGTTAGAGGAACCCTTTTAAAAAGTCCGTGTATGTTACAACAAAATGGAAGCCAAGCACCTAATCTTATCCCGAATCTTGTGCCATAGAAGCCTCCTTAAAGTTACAAGAGTTATTATCGAATCATATGCACCAAATTGTAGCACAGATTGCACATTGCTGCAAAACTTCAGCCTCTTTAATCCTACAAAAATCATTAAAGATTATATCAAAAATTGGTCCAAGGACCTAGGGCACACCTACAATTAACCCAAAATACCAAACAAAGTGTTCCAAAGAGAAACAAAAGCAGAACAATGTAAGAAGAGATGTGGAGCCGGTTTAGAACTAGCACCACGCATAAAACACAGATCAGGGGAAATAACTTATGTAGCACTGAAAATTGGTTTTGTATTACTTTATTTTGACATGATCTTTTGGTTATTTACTTTTCCATCTATTCTTGGTCTTAGTTTCAGTGCAACCATTTAAAGCCTTTGTATTCCCATGTAGCACTGTAGTGATGATTTCTTCATTATAATATGCACTGTAGATTTTTGACATAAGTAAATATCGTCATCATCAGCAAGAAAAGTAGCATTTATAAGATAAGTTTTTAATTTCAAAGGTTATGCTTTCATAATTTTTCAATTTAAGGGGGAGGAATATTGAGCAAATGATTGATCTGGTTAAGCTCACCACTATCTATTTCCTCTGTTTTTATAACTCTCTCTCTCATACACCTACACAAACACACACAAAACCTCAGTCCTTCAACTCAATTGGAATATTTCCTATCCGTATGTATTCTTAAATCTTAATGATAAGATGTTCTTTGAGGTCTTCAAGATTGTGATTGTAAGGTCTCTTTGCCTATTTATTTTTAGTTGACAATATAGCATATGACCCCTCTCCCTGTACCATATCTCATTAACAAAACCTACAGGCATATACACTTACTCACATTCCAGTATATGCCTATGTAATGACTACTGATGATAGGATGTTTGTCATTCATGATTTATAATTCTGATGGTTTCCACTGACTCAAAGTTCATTGACACAGTTTTCTGCAGGTTTTCTGTGCAGGAATATAGCAAATTCCGTGTTATGCCTATTAATGAAGCTGCAGTAGCACTTGCAGAAAGTGGAAAAATTGGTGCCTTAAACTTGCTCTTTAAGCGTCATCCATATTCTTTGTCTCCCTTTATGTTGGAAATTTTAGCTGCCATCCCAGAAACAGTTCCTGTCCAGACATATGGGCAGCTTCTTCCTGGAAAGTCTCCTCCTTCTAGTGTTGCTGTGAGGCAATATGATTGGGTTGAATGTGAGAAGATGGTTCACTTCATCAATGCGTCAGTTGAAAACCATGACATTCAAATCCTAGTCAAAACCGAACCTCTTGTTAAGCATTTTCTTGGATTTGCTTGGCCATCAATTGATGAGCTCTCAAATTGGTATACAAATAGAGCTAGAGCTATGGATAATTTTAGTGGGCAGCTAGATAATTGCCTCAGCCTACTTGAGTTTGCTCTTCGCAAAGGTATATCTGAGTTGCAGCAGTTTCATCAGGACATAGTATATTTGTATCAAATTATTTATTCTGATGACAATGATAGTGAAATGAGCTTCAATATGAGTCTTGTCATGTGGGGAGAATTGTCAGACTATGATAAATTTAAATTTATGCTCAAGGGAATCAAAGAGGAAAATGTAACTGAAAGATTACACAATAGAGCTATTCCATTTATGCATGAAAAGTTTCATCAAGTATCCTTAATCGGAGATGTCACTCTTTCTAATTCTACAAATCAAAATATAGAGGAATCATTTCTAGTCAGATGGTTGAAGGAAACTGCTTTGGAGAATAAATTGGAGATATGCTTGGTGGTAATTGAGGAAGGGTGCAGAAACTTCCAAAGTAATGTCTATTTCAAAACTGAGGTTGAAGCTGTTGATTGTGCTTTGCAATGCATATATTTGTCCACAGTTACAGATAGGTGGAGTATCATGGCAGCCATACTATCTAAACTTCCTCAATTGCATGGTGAGTTTGGCTTCATGTTTATTCTAATATCATAATGACAGTGAGATGTTGTAATTTTTAATAATCATAATGACAGGATTCTCAGGAACCAGTATTTTTATTTTTATTTTTGTGTGTGTGTGTGTGGGGGTGGAGTTGGGTTATTTCCCAAGCTTATACATAGTTTTACCCTGAAATTTTGATCTAGCAATTTGTTGTAAGACAAATATAATTGGTTGGGAATATTGTATTCATGTGATCTTTACAGTATTGATATTAGTTAACATTTGATTTTGATCCTTAAGTAACTGGAATGTGGAGTTTTCTTTTCCCTCAGTTTTGGAATCTTTAAAATCCCCGCTCTCTTTTCCTTTTAAAGAATTACAATTTAGGAGTTCCTGGTGAAAACTATAGTTTCAAACAATTCACTATACCAGTGGTTAATTAATTCAATATATGGTTAACCCTTTTAATGGAAAAAGTGTTGATCACTTTTTTATGAAGCTGTTGTTTCTTCACTAGTACATCCTTTGTACCTGCTTACCGGTATTTAACACCTTCATTTCATATTGTCCATAGTTTGTCTCTTGTTATCCTTACATAACAACCTTGATAAAAATGTTCCTGAACTTGGTGCCTTCTTGAGGAATTCAAAGTCATTACTTCCTCAGTCTCCTGAGAAGAAATTTCTCTTTCTGTCATTCAACCTGCCTTTTCTATTCTTTTTTGGTCTTTGACAGGGTATCCCCAAAGGTATATCTAAGAGACTAACCTCTCGGGCTGGGGGTTGTGGTTAGGTAACCCCAAAGGCCCAGAGTGACTTATACCCTATGTTCACCTGGGGTGAGAGTCCATTTCTATTGCGACCAATCACTATTTAGTTGCCTCTTCTACCGTTTTGTATCAAGTTTCTGAATATTATATAAAGCTGAAAAAAATTCTAATGAATATAGATTTCCATGTCAAACCTTCTTCAAAACTTTTGAAATTATTAGCTTCTATCATTCTTTTCTTAGGCTCACGTGATTTCCTTCCACAGTCATATGTCGGTATCTTTCACCAACTGAAGAGTATTGGCTCGTGTCCTGACAATATCTTTTTTTTTTCTCATTCAGTGTGGATAAGAATTCAGCTAGCATTCCAGCTATTGAATATTATTTTTCTGTCCTTTCATTGTATATATCATTGACATATATTGTGTTGTTGAGCTGGAGTGTGCATATAATTTGAATCCCAAATTTACAGACGACACACTGCTGCATATCTATGTGTGTGCATGTGTTGTTGAGTAATTTCTTGTGGATGTGATGATTCAGTCAATAGTATAAATCTGTTCATGAGTACATTGAAATATGTATTATTGCGCAGATGGTGCAATTCAAGTTGAGAGCCTTGAGAGAAGACTTAGAGTTGCTGAAGGTCATATTGAAGCAGGGAGGCTCTTGGCATTTTACCAGGTTGGTCGTTTGTCCTCTATGAGCAATTGAACTTTAAAGCCTTAAGTTATTCATGAAGGTGATGTCTAAGTTGATTGATTATATGGTGAAATAAAATTAATCATACTTCAATGTGTATGACACCTTAGTTTGGATTGTACAACTTTTGTTTAGCATTGTTTTTCCCCCCTCAACTATTTGGCGTTATGACTGTAAAATTCATATTATTGGGTTTTAGCATGGATTGTTTACAATGCTATATTTTGGATCTGTGCAGGTCCCAAAGCCATTAAACTTTTTTCTAGGATCTCAGTCAGATGAGAAGGGTGTAAAACAGATTATTCGCCTTATTCTTTCTAAATTTATTCGACGTCAGCCAAGCCGATCAGATAGTGAATGGGCCAGCATGTGGCGTGATATGCAGTACTTGAGGGAAAAGGCATTTCCTTTTCTGGACCTGGAGTATATATTGATTGAATTTTGCAGAGGGCTGCTTAAAGCTGGAAAATTTTCTCTTGCACGAAATTATTTGAAGGGTACAAGTTCAGTTGCTTTGGCATCAGAAAAGGCCGAAAACCTTGTCATTCAAGCAGCTAGGGAGTACTTTTTCTCAGCTTCAAGTCTTTCTTGTTCTGAAGTAAGATAGGCTGTAACAACTTATTACTTGTAGCATCTAATATCTGAAATCTTTATACCCTTTGTCGTGACAAAAGCATCGTTCATCATGTTAACACACATGAATTCAGCCATAAGAACCATTACACAACATCTTACCTCTTTTTTTTTTAGACTTAAGATTTAAGGTAGAAACTGAACCATAGAGTCTAATATCTATTATGCTTGTCAACTGTCATCTAAATCAGGACAAGGCCATTTTCTCATTTTATTGAAGTTCTTGATAGTCTTAAAGAAGCTTTGTTTTATGCTAACCTATCCTCAACAACATGAAATGATTAATTATGTTGCTGCAATTTGCTTCAGATCTGGAATGCTAAAGAATGTCTTAATCTATATCCAAGTAGTGGAAATGTGAAGGCAGAGGCAGATATTATTGATGCACTTACAGTTAAGCTTCCAAACCTTGGGGTGAATATTCTTCCCATGCAGTTCAGGCAAATAAAAGATCCTATGGAAATTTTGAAAATGGCAATCACAAATCAGACTGGAGCATATTTTCATGTTGATGAACTTATCGAGGTTGCCAAACTTCTTGGCCTGAGGTCTGCCGATGACATATCAGCTGTTGAGGAAGCTATTGCTAGAGAGGCTGCAGTTTCTGGTGATTTACAGTTGGCATTTGATCTCTGTCTTGTTTTGGCCAGAAAAGGACATGGTTACATATGGGATTTATGTGCTGCAATTGCAAGAGGTCCTGCCCTTGAAAATATGGATGTGGACTCTCGAAAGCAGCTACTAGGGTTTGCTTTGAGCCATTGTGATGAGGAATCCATTGGCGAGCTTCTCCAGGCATGGAAAGACCTAGATATGCAAGGCCAGTGTGAAACATTAATGATGTCAACTGGGACAAATTTTTCAGTGCAAAGTTCATCAGTAAACTCACTTCAAAAGCAGAGTTTTCAAAATGTACTTGATAGCAATGGTTGCTTTCAAGAGTTTGATGGTATTAGCGCTGACAATCAAGATTTTCATGTCGAGAAAATTAGAGACATGCTTTCCATTGTAGCTAAAACCTTGGCTGTTGGGGATCGAACTGATTGGGCCTCGGGCTTGACTGAAAATGGAAAAATTCTGTCTTTTGCTGCTTTACAACTTCCTTGGTTGCTTGAATTGAGTAGGAAAGGAGATAATAATAAGAAATTTAGTACTGGAAAGCAATATTTAAACATCAGAACACAAGCTGTGGTGACCATTTTGTCGTGGTTGGCCAGGAATGGATTTGCCCCCAGAGACAATCTGATTGCCTCCTTAGCAAATTCAATTATGGAACCACCGGTCACCGAAGATGAAGATATAATAGGGTGCTCCTATCTTTTGAATCTTGTGGATGCTTTCAATGGGGTAGAAATTATAGAAGAACAACTCAAAATAAGAAAAGACTACCAAGAAATTTGTAGCATCATGAATGTTGGGATGGCGTACAGCTTACTACACAACTCTGGAATAGGGACTGACCCTGCTCAGCGGAAGGAGCTATTGCTGAGGAGGTTTAAGGAAAAGCATGCATCACCCAGTTCTGGTAATGGGCTTTTCTCTGCAATATTCTTTTCCTAGTACATTTATTTAGTAGTTGACTCCTAGATTGCATATTTTTTATTTTTTATATGCTATTTGTATTTGAATTGTTGATCATGCTTGTATTGATTGTGGACTTCTTTCTCCCACCTTCTTTTCATTCTTATTTGGCATCCATAACTGATGAAGACATTGTTTTGATTTTATTTTATTTTCCAGATGATATAGATAAACTTGGCAAGGCACAGTCCTCGTTTTGGAGAGAGTGGAAGCTGAAGTTAGAAGAGCAAAAGCGTATGACTGATCATTCTAGAGCACTAGAGAAAATAATTCCTGGTGTTGAAACGGAGCGCTTTTTGTCCGGGGACTCCATCTACATTGAGAATGTTGTTCTCTCTCTCATTGAGTCAGTAAAGTTCGAAAAAAAGCGCATTTTGAAGGACATATTAAAATTGGCTGATACTTATGGCTTGAACTGTAATGAGGTATGAGGGTTTACAAGAATGTGTTGAAACATTCTTAAAAAAAAGTATTGATTAGATGAAACCATTAATCTTTTAGTTCCTTTGCTCATTGACAAAGCTGTCAGGTAGCATTAGTTTTCAGTATAAAGTAGTTATAAATGTTAAAGAGATATAATAAAATCATTTGTGTCTTCAAACCAACAGCTTAAACTTTTGGAAGAGTTGGTTCATGACATGATATCAAAGCCTATGACCAAGTGGTCTAGTGTTGAGTTATAAAAATTGTTGCTAGGCCCCATTTAACTGCTTGAGCCTTTAGGTAAACTAGTTCTTTGAGAATGTTAGAGTATAATATAAACCATTAAAGAGGCCCTCACCTAACAGCTTAAGCTTTTGGGTTGAATTAGTTCTTTACATGGTATCAGAGCCTCGTGTCCCGGGTTCGATCCTCACCGCCCCCACTTTTTCTTGTAAATTTTCTTAGCATAGGTAGGTGGGCCTGTGCATTGTCCACCCTTCAAGCCTAGTGGGCTCTCGTGTGAGGGGGTGTGTTAGAGAACAGTATAAACCATTAAAAAGCCCTCACCCACCAGCTTAAACTTTTGGGTTGGATTAAGCTTTTGGGTTGAATTGGTTCTTTACATGGTGTCAGAGCCTCGGTGTACCGGGTTCAATCCTCACCGCCTTCCACTTTCTTTCTAGTGGAATTTCTTTCTTCGCACAGGTAGGTGGGCCTGTGCATTGTCCACCGTTCAAGCCCAGTGGGCTCTCGTGTGAGGGGGGCGTGTTGAGATATATAAAACCATTAATGTAGCCTCACCCAAAAGCTTAAGCTTTTGGGTTGAATTGGTTCTTTACAGAGAAAAATGCATACATAATCCATTTGATGAGACCTCACTATTTCTTTGTTTCTTTGCAGGTGCTGTTGCGTTACCTTAGCGCTGTCCTTGTTTCTGATGTTTGGACAAATGATGATATTACAGCCGACATTGCAGCTTATAAAGGACAAATAATTGGTAATAGTGCCAAAACCATTGAAACAATCTCAAAAATTGTCTACCCTGCAATTGATGGGTGCAACAAGCTTCGCCTTGCTTATGTGTATGGCCTGTTGTCAGAGTGCTACTTGCAGCTGGAAAATACCAAAGATTTATCACCAATAGTACAGCCTGATCATGCAAATGCCAATCTAAGGTTTACTCATTATTACAAGGTCCTCGAGCAAGAATGCAAAAATGTATCCTTTATCAATAACCTAAACTTCAAAAATATAGCTGGGTTGTGTGGTTTGAACTTTGATTCCTTTAGAGATGAAGTTTATGCATGTATTGAGGAAAGTAGCTTGTCAGCTTTGTCAAAAATGGTACAGGCTTTTGTCAATATATATGGTGATTCATTGCCTGAGGGTTTTATGTCATGGCAGGATGTCTACAAGTACTACATCCTTAGTTTGCTGAGAGCTTTGGAAACTAAAGCTACAACTGATTCTAGTATTAGAACTCCTGAATACCTTCAAGGCTTTATAAGTAAGCTTGAGCAGAGCTATGATTTGTGCCGAATGCATATTAAACTTTTGAGCCAGTCTGATGCTTTGGGGATCATGAAGCAGTACTTCACTGTAATCATGCCTCTCTACAGTTCGTATGGATTCCTACCTGACAATTCAACATGGCAAGACTGCCTTATTGTTCTTCTAAACTTTTGGATGAGATTGACAGATGATATGAAGGAAATTGCATTGGAGGAAAGTTCAGGCGAAACTTTTAGCTTCAATCCACAATGTTTAATGAGTTGTCTTAAGGTTTTTATGAAATTGGTGATGGAGGATATCATCTCCCCAAGTCAGGGCTGGGGCAGCATATATGGCTATGTCAACGGTGGCTTAAATGGTGATTCTTCTGCAGAAATTTATAGTTTCTGCAAAGCTATGATTTTTTCTGGTTGTGGGTTTGGTGCCGTTGCAGAGGTTTTTTCTGTTGCATCATTGGAAACTGGTTCAGCTTCTGATTCTGCCACAGGTTCCCAGGATCTTCCTCATTTCTATTTAGAAATTGTGGAAGCTGTTCTGCAGGAATTGGTCGATGGATCCCATGAGAGCCAAAACCTGTATCATATATTGTCATCTTTAAGCAAGCTAGAAGGTGATTTAAAAGTTATGCAATGTGTTAGACATGTAATTTGGGAAAGAATGGTCCAGTTCTCTGACAATTTACAGTTGCCAAGTTCCATCAGAGTTTTTGTACTAGAGCTTATGCAATTTATCTCAGGTAAAAATATTAAGGGTTTCTCTACAGAAATACTAGCCAATGTTCAACCATGGGAAGAATGGAATGAATTGCTTTATGCTAGTAGAAAGAGTGAGACCGATGTTGACAAGCAGTTGCCAGATCACAAAGACTCTTCTAGTAGGTTTACAAATACTTTGGTTGCTCTGAGATCATCTCAGCTTGTGGCATCAATCTCTCCTAGCATAGAAATTACCTCTGATGATCTATTGAATGCAGACATGGCTGTTTCTTGCTTTTTGAGGTTGTGTGAAGAAGCTAGTAAAGATCTCCACTTCGATGCTCTGGTAGCCATTTTGGAGGAATGGGATGGGCTTTTCAGTACAGAGAAAGACGGAGAAACTGCTGCTGAAGCATCTGACGGAGGAAATGACTGGAATAATGATGATTGGGATGAGGGATGGGAAAGTCTTGAGGAAGTAGACAAGCCTGAGAGAGAAAAGAAAGAGGATTCTGCTTCTGTTCACCCTTTACATGTGTGTTGGGCGGAGATTTTTAGAAAATTCATAAGCCTATCAAGGTTTAGTGATGTGCTGAGACTGATTGATCAATCATCATTAAAACCTAATGGTATATTGCTTGATGAAGATGATGCCAGGAGCTTAAGCCAGATAGCACTTGGCGCGGATTGCTTTCTGGCTTTGAAGATGGCACTGTTGCTGCCTTACAAAACATTACAGCTGCAGTGCCTGGGTGCAGTTGAGGATAACATAAGACAAGGCATCTCTGAAACAAGGGGCAAGGACTATGAGTTATTAATTCTTATTTTTTCTTCTGGGATTCTTACTTCTATTGCGACCGACTCTACCTATGGTACTACTTTCTCTTATCTCTGCTATTTGATTGGAAACTTGTCCAATCAATGTCAAGAAGCTCTGGTATCAGGCAGAGGAATTAACAATAGTGAAGATCACGGGAATCAGTTGCTTCTTTACGGAAGGATCCTTTTCCCTAATTTCATAGCGGAACTTGTGAAGGCTGATCAACATGTTCTAGCTGGATTTCTAGTCACAAAATTTATGCACACTAATGAAACACTCAGTCTCATTAACATTGCCGAGGCCAGTCTTAATAGGTATCTGGAAAGGCAGCTACACTTGCTACAGGTCAACGAGTTTCCTGTTGAGAAGACATGTAAAACATTGAAGAATACAATTAGCAGGTTGAGAAGCAAACTGAGCAATTTGATTCAATCTACATTGCCATTGCTTTCTGCTAGTGTTAGTTGATAGAAGTTTCGATTTGATCCCCCCTTTTATCCGTTTCAGCAAATTGTTTTAGAGTAGCATTTGTATCAAATTAGAATGCGAGGGTTTTCTTGATGACTATTTAAATAGATATTTTCTTTTGGAGGGTTGGGTTTACGGATGAATTGCTTGTTCAAAAGAAAAGCTAATTAGAGATTCAAAATTTCATACATGTATGTGTTTAAGAATTATTTGACCATATATTTCTACCCAATTGTTTTGTTAATAACTATGTCTTCCGGCTGGCTTTGCGACTTGGGTTCTTTCTTTTATTTTTTAAATTAATTTAGGAAGCAAATTAAAAATGCTCAAATTATGTATATACCATAAAGTATGTTTAACAAAACCAATTAAAATAAGAACTGTATTGTTATTTGAATATTGAATTTTAAAAGCTGGCAGTAGAATGTAACAGCAAATAACCTCTCTTTATAGCAATGGTCATCCAATGGTCGAAATTGGCAGGAGTATTAAAGAATTTTCCATTTAATTTAACTTCAAATAACCTCTTTTTATGACAATGGTTATACTGAAAGTAATATTTACTAAAGATTTGAACAAGCAGAAAATGGCACATACATCGTTATAGTAAATGATTTTTTTTCAGCAAAATTTTACCATAATGTTATTTGCTGTGAATAGATTAAAATTAAAATCTTAATATAAATTATTCTTCACTTGGAATGAATCTATGAGTCGATTTTAATTATCTGTAAATAAATCAATATTTTTTTTCTCAATCTTTACGTAATTTCCATAACCTTATTTCATATTTATAAAACAGCTGATATAATTTCATATAACCTCATTTAATATTATGCTTTTATTGTGTCCTTGTGACCGAATCTGCGATCTAAGACATGACAAGTTAATGTTAAAATATTGAAATAAGAAGATCGGAATCCTCTTATGATCAGAGTGACGGTATACTAGTTTTAAGCCACTTGATATAACGGCGAGAGATTTGTGTAGATTGGATTAAATGATGTGTTTCAATTTCTAATAAATAAATATATAAAAAGTCTTGGTATACATACGGATGATACAAAGGAGAGAGTGCCCAATACATACCTACGCGCGAATATATTAATATTATATAGCGGTTGTTGCCTATCTCCTCGTATCGGAAGCAACTACTTTTTTTTTTAACGAGAACAGTAACAAACTATTATTACCAATACCATACGACAGAATCTGAGGAAGAACTAATAAGAAACTTACTATTCTCTCTCTCTCTCTCTCTGGTGAAAGTGAAAAATGGAAACAAAATCTGTTTCTGGTGTTGTTGCATGAATTGTATCTAAGATAAGGTTCTGAACTCCTCAAAATGGAGAAGTTACCTTTGGAAATTTGTATGAGGATATTCTGTTTCTTGGACTACCACAATCTAGCAGTTGCTCAACAAGGTCAGTGATGCCCTATTGATTTTTAGATTTTTTTGTGTTTTAAAAATATTTAAAAAAAAAAAAAAAAGTTATCCAATTTGCAATGTAATTTGTTGATTTCTAAATTTCAAATTAGTAGCATGATCCATCAATTGAAATATCGATATTAGATCTGAATTGGGTTTCTTCCATTCTATATATTGACTTGGATTATCTATTGTGTTTTCTGTCTGTTTGAATTGGATCCTCCATTTGCTGCATGTACTTTGCATATTGATTGAAAAGTGGTCATGAGATGATCCTCTAGAATATGTGGATTGGTTTGTTCAGACTTTCCTGAATTTTGTCAATGATCGTCTAAATTGATACATTTTTATAATCAGAAACAAATTGGTGCAAGGCGATTCAGTGACTAGTGTAGTGTGGATCTCTATTTGAAATTTCCTGTTCCGGCTTCTGAGACTGAAATTAGCTGTTGATTAAATGGAATTAAAAACGGGAACATGATTTGGTTGTTATATAATTTCCATCTTTTTGGGGGAAAATACAAAAAATAATAAATAATAAAAATGCTACTTTTATAACATATTGCTCAACCTTTATCCAATAAATCCCACCCTAGTTATACAGATTCCTATCACTATTCTCTTATCAGCAGAATTTGAAAGAATCAAACACAGCGCTGTGTTCCTTGGGTTAATATGTTCTAACTATCACCATGCTTTTCAAGAAACATAACATAAAGCACCTCTCATTTAAATCTGGAGGTTGACCAAGTTTTGCCACTTGGCCTTGTTTGATATTTTCTCTGTTTGTTAAAATCAAACTTATATTTATTGTTTTGATCAGTGATTAACAGATATATGTGATTTTAAATTTCATCTGACATTTGATGTCCACCACTTCTTGTACGAATGCAATTGAATCAAATCAAAACTTTTTGGATAAGGAAAACATGTTGGGGCTAATGTGAAAGGCTTCGTAATGTTGTTTAAATTTCTAGAAAATAAAATTTTCTATTAGTTGGTGGTAATGTTTGAAGCTTCTTAAGGTTTGTTAGATTTCCACCAAACAAAAAACAAAAAACAAAAATCAAAAACAAAAAATTAACTGCCTAAAAGTTCCAAGTTGAAGTAAATTAGTCTGAGGATGCAAGTTGCGCCATATTCGAAGCCCCTTGTTTCATTTATCATCATGTATCTTTTCTTTCAGAAAAATATTAGCATATGGTTACACTTTGAATCCGGAAACATTATATTTACCTTCTACATATGGTTACATTTTGCTCAGAATTTTGGAATTTTATTCCCAACAATGTGTCAATTTTTCTTTTGTCTTCATGTTAGACATAACAGTAAGAGTTTGTGTGCAAATATGAGTTAGAATCAGGGATTTGGTAATTGGCAACTGAGAGTGATAACGGTGAATAAATATCACCCTAAAAGATTGTATAATTTGACAAGTTTTAATGTAATTTTCTTTCAAGATTTTGAGGTTTATTACCTTATTTTGATATGAATCAAATCACCTCTCCCCTTCCCTATTCCTCCATTTAAAAATTGACACTTCAGCAAAAAAAATTCTCTTTCTTTTTAAATTTCAGCACTTTCTCTCTTAGTTGTTAGTTTTTTTAATTGGAGGGACAAGAAGGTGGTAACATGTGATTTGATTCGATTTTGATAAGCCATTAATTTGGCAATTTGTTGTACAGTATGCAGAAAGTGGAAGCTGATGGCCTCAGAAGATGCTCTATGGTCTAACCTTTTTAAGGAGAGATGGGGAGGAGATCATGCAGCTTTTTATTCTCCTATTGGTTCAAAGTTATGGAAAGATGTATATGAGGTGGAAGATCGTTGTGATCGAGTTGGAGTGTAAGTTGTTTAATTTATCCTAAAGTTTAAGAGCATGCACATGCACATAGACATCTCTCATGTTTCATCTTGAATGCCTTCATGGTTGGAGTAGTTTTGCTCCAATTATCCCAAAAGGGTTGTTAGATGAAGGAAGATGAATGATTTTATATATACATTAAATCTTCATAATTAAATATTTATCATAAGAATGCGACGGCAAGGATGGAACTCGGGAGATATGAGCAACCAACTATCCCAAAAATTATTAGTTGAAGACAGATGAATAAATTTATATTATATTTCTAACAAGTTGAATTGGTAATTACTGCATCTACAGCATTGATGTTAGCTTGCTCTTACGTGGATCTTGCTCATCTCTATTATGAACCATAGTTATTCAACAAAATAAATTATTGTCTCATAATTTGTGTTTGGAATTAGTAAATAAGTCAGGAATTCAATCTGCATTCACACAATAAATAATCTAATCTGTGGTAACAGTTGTTGGATGCTAATCTAAAGGGAATGACTTTTTATTCATTCTTCATAAAATAGGGGTTTGAAGATAATTAGAGAAGGCAGTGACTACTATCTTGTTCAACTAGGTGAAAAACAGCGATATCTGGGTTCAAGAAAAAATGGGGAACAAGTTAGTGGCAACAGCAGCCATACTTTAAGTTCAGAAAGGGGCTTCACTGAAGAAGGTTCTCTAGCTGAAGAGAGATCTTGTCGAGGAATTTTGGATAAAATCCTTTTTTTCATTGGGGATTTGGAAGTTGCTTCTGCGGATGCAAAACGTAGCCGTGTGATATGATTATCTAATGTATTCAATCCAATAGTGAAGTTCACTGTAAAACTTAATCTGCATGTAAGCATTGTTTATGTATATACTTATTTATATCATTAAACAAATGTATTCAGTTATTTTGCAGCACTTTAATTTGTAGGCTTTTTCGGATGAGAATCACACAAGTGACAAGTGATTGTTTATCCAGCTGTAAAGTATAAACCATTGTGAAATATAATCTGATTAGATTGTCCAGTCCAAGTATGCCAATTACTGGGGTGGACACTATCAGTTCATAAAGGCCTTATGCTAGTGTTGTCATTTGTCTCCGGCAAAAGTTGGAATGTTAAGGTAAAAGTTGAAATGTTAAGTTGAATTTCATTGATTAAAGGAAATAAATAAAAATATTGATAGTAACTGATTTGGGTGACTGGATCAACAAGTGTTATTAAATTGACTTTTGAAAATATAAATGAAGCCAATAAAACAAAAAAGGAATATAATATCTTAAGTTAGTCATTTCTTCCGATTCTAATGAGATTTCTAAGGGCTTGTTTGGATGGATTTTTTTTCTCTTCAAAAGTTATTTTTTTAGGAAAAAAAAAAGTATTTCTCACTGCTTTGAAAAAAAACGTTGAGTCACGAAAAAAGTCAAAAATTTACTTTTTTTTTAAAGCAAAAAATTTGAGCTTCTAAAAAAACAAAAGGCAAAAGGCAAATATTTTTTTCAAAAACTAATTTTTTTAAAAAAATCTAAATAATTTTAACTTTTGTCACTTCTAGAACAAACAAGGCATAAAATCTTTTTTTTTTTAAAAGGCCAAACAAATGGACTTTAACACGCCAAGAAAGGAATAACAAGACTATATTTGTCATTCAGAATATCTTGTCCTTAAGAAAAGCAAAGGGAGAATTGCTTCTTTTCCTTCCAAAATAAAATATAAAAAATTGAAAGTTAACATTTTTTAGAATTAACGTGTTGGAGTGTTATATCGTATCGTATCTTGTATCTCGTGTCGGTGTCGGTGCAACATAGGTTATTTTGCAGCACTTTAATTTGTAGGCTTTTTCGGATGAGAATCACACAAGTGATTGTTTATCCAGCGTAAAGTATAAACCATTGTGAAATATAATCTGATTAGATTGTCCAGTCCAAGTATGCCAATTACTGGAGTGGACACTGTCAGTTCATAAAGGCCTTATGTTAGTGTTATCATTTGTCTCCAGCAAAAGTTGAAATGTTAAGATAAAAGTTGAAATGTTAAGTTGAATTTCATTGTTTAAAGGAAATAAATAAAAATATTGATAGTAATTGATTTGGGTGACTTGATCAACAAGTTATTTAAATTGACTTTTTAAAATATAAATGAAGCCAATAAAACAAAAAAGTAAAAGAATATCTTAAGTTAGTCATTTTCTTCCTATTCTAATGAGACTCACGTGTAAGAGACTAAGACACCAAGAAAGGGATAACAAGAACTATATTATTGTCCTCCTTCAGAATATCTTGTCCTTAAGAAAAGAAAAGGGAGAATTGCTTCTTTTCCTTCAAAAAAAAATAAAAAATTGAAAGATTGTGATATTGGCGAGTATTTAGCCTAAAGTCCTTTTTTTCTATCTCATTTTTTTTTTTGTATTATTAGTAAACTTATTTTTAAATCTGTATATGATAATACCAAAACTTTACTTGAACTTATATATCGATCAAATGATCCTAAACATGTAAAAAAAATAAAAAATGAAAAAAATGATATTTTTAGCGTTATCCTTTAGCTTTATACACTAACGGAATGCTTTTTGTGCCCAAGGATAAAAGTAATTCATGCCGATAAAAAAAGACTGATGGAAACACAAACTGCCACAACATAATTTTAGAAATTGAAGGATTAATTAGTTTAAGTAAATACCAAGCTTGGGACTCGAGGGTGGAAGAACTTTAGCATAACTAAATATAGTTAAATACCAAACTACGCACATCTGCGGCAGAGTCTCCAGGAGCCATGACTGCGTCCACACATCATCCGATGCTGACAGAAGAGCAACATACAGCCAGGGTAAAACGCAGCTCATGTGTAACTAGCGTGGCTGGGGTCAAGAACCAACTTGGAGATCGTGGGGTAGCTAAATTAATGGGTGCGCTTTACATTATGTGGCAATGGGATGAACAGTTAAGGGACTCTCGGGGCTACGAAACACCGACATTTTTCGACACTCATTGACGTTCCGATACTTTTCAACACTCCAATACTGGTTGTAAAGACTCAAAAAAAATTCAAAGGTTAATTGCATTTTGAGTTCCAACTATTAAATTCGTTAGATTATGATTACGATTTTATTGAGTTTAATATAAACATTTGAGATATATTATGTTTCTTTACAAAATTAATAAGTATTATAAGTTTAGCTTTTCTTTTTTTTTAAATTATTAAATACTAAATATAATATACATTACATAAATTGAAAAAATTTATATAACATTAAAACGTGTCTTGATGTGTCAAAATTTAATATTTTTTAGAATTAACATATCGAAATATCGTGTCGTATCTCCTATGGTGGCAGTGCAACATAGCTCTCAGGTATTATCATCCCACCGCCCTGATTTGTAAACAATTACCTTTTTGCTTTATACTAGTTGTGCACAACTAGTTATCTTACTATGATTGATTGGGCAAACCTTATTGGAACCTCAACTAGATTTCCCATCAATCAATTGTAAGTGAAAAATTCTAGCATCTTTTCATTCGTGAGGATAATGCTGGAAGTTGTACGTCAATAAATGCATTACCCTATTCGTTGAGGGAAAATAAAAGGATGCATTAATTGAATGTAGTGCAATTTCATTACAAAAGTAAAAAGACAATGAAAGAAATAGTATGGCACATATACTATTCCGGACGGGCCAAACTTAAATCCCGCCCCAAAAAAGAATAAAATAGAACTACCAAAACGGAGATTTCTCCTCAAGTAATAGCCAATAGAAATCTACTACACTATTGATACCAAAAACACTTAAAAACAAATTGCTCCAGACATCCTTTCAGCTCGAAACCCTTCCCTTGGATCGCACCAGGTTTACCTTCACATTCAAATCGTCCCGTACATGGTTTGGACAGAAACTGCATTATGTAAGACTGAAGCAGCTACGTTCAGTGCCTCCCTAAAACTTACTCTTAACACCATTTAAATGTTCAGTGGCTCCGATTCTGTGTCCCTTTCCTTCAATTGCCAATCTTCTGTTTCTGATTTCAAACAAAAGTAATAATACCAGCTCCAAGTAAGAAAAATTTTGTTCTATAAAAAGGGGAAATAACGCTTGAAAAGAACATTTTGTTGGTTCATATTTCATTTCCATACTCGACGCTGGTAATCATGTCAGTCATAATGCCATGTGTTATGCCAGATAATTTAGGTAGAATAGGCCTTGAGGGCTGAGGCCCTTTAAAATCAAAGGATGGAGAGAGCGTTCAAGGTTAAACAAAATCGCCAAATTAACCAAAGTAGGCTATCATCATGCACACAAGAATATTTGGCCCTGCAGAAGTGTCAGGGATGTACAAGAACAGCCTCATGCGGGATATAACAGAAAGGTGATGTGGCAAATAAGCCAAAGGTGTTAAGATAAAGTAATAACACAGCATATTAGTCTAAATAAGTTTTGAGCCCATTGCTGTCCAATTTCTAAATATTCAACATAAATATTAGATAATAGCGTGAGGGTCTTACTTGGCTTATCTGCAATCACCATCAGTCGCCTTTGTAAGATACATGCCACCATAAGGAAAATTGAGCACATACCAAACATAACAGTAATAGGGAATGCATCAACCTGCACAGAGAAATACATAATTAGTCAAAAACACATGTATACCGGTACAGAGAGAGAGACTTTTCTTTTATTTACTCTCTTGCTCTTAGGGGTGGGCAGAAAGTGGAAGGGGTTAAAGGTGTAGAATTTAATGGCTGATAACTGGTCCAACCAGACATTCTACTAGAAAAGGTTATAATTCCAGGTTCAAATTAGTGCGATATAAAAGTAGATTAGACTGTTAGAATTCAGCAATCTACATCCACCGAAATACTATGCTGTTAAGATCAAGCATTTTATCTAATTCTTAGATCGTGCAACATACATTGTACAGCACAACACACACAAAGATGTTCAGAGGAATGCGGAAGAAGTTCATTATGGTGCTCCTGGCCTCCTCGGGAATGTATTGAGATCTCATCTTCATAATAGATGGCCAGAATATGCCAACACAACTCTCAAAAGCACAGAAGCCAAGAAGTTGCAGGCAACCGGAGAATGAGATGCCTCCACCTCTCACTTTGGAAGGAACTACTAAGAACTGTTCCATAATAACCAAGTCAAAATATAGCAGAATAGTGTGAGATATAAATCGAATAATAGGGTGGAGGGGGCAGGGGAGAGAGAGGAGTATATTGGAAGAATGACATACACTGGTCAGAATGGGAAGCAATAGAGCACCAGAAGAAACTGCAAAAACAAGCTGCATGTAGCTCTCTACTCGGAGTGATGAACGGGCCATCAACTTGGATGCAAGCGAGCTTCCCAACATTGAAGCTAACATGAATGTTGCAAAAATAAAACCGTGGGGAATTTCTTCATCATTTGGGCTCAAAGCAGGAGTCCACAAAAATACAAAGGTATACATTGAACCTTCAAAGAGAGACTGTATGGCACCCAGCAAGGCTATTTTTTCATCTGAAACACAAAGAATGCAATAATAAATGAACATGGGAAGCCAGCAATGAACAAAAATTCAAGCCGAGATGAATAAGATAAATGATAATGGAATAAGGAAAGCCAAAGAACAACTTCACTTTCCCAATTCCATTTAGGGTAGCTTTAATAATAACTTCTATTAATACAAAAATGTTTACAATTCTTTTCTAGAGCCATACAGAAAATGTACATTCCATGTAATTAGCTATGTGGATTCTAACTCCCTGGAGAATACCAAGGAAGAGAGGCAACTTTATCACTTAAAATTCCAAGTTCCTGCCTCATTTTAATTGTTTAACAGCAGAATTGGCACTTGCGAATAGGTTCATTTCGGCATACTCACTGCCACAATAGGATCAAAAGGTGACCAGTCCCGTCCTTACACAGATTAATGTCATGCATAAAGAACTTCACGGTTCAAATTTACAGTATTGAACCATTGTATAAAGACAAAGACAAAAATACATTCAAAGGTAAGAAATCTACCAGAAGCAATGGCCACAGCAGCACCCTTGAATTGGGTAAGAAGGTCCTTGCTCTCAGAAGGGTCTCCAAAATTTTCTGACCATGTAGATAATATGACAGCCATACCAATTGCAAGAAAACATGAAGCAGCATCAAAGGGGGCCACAGGTCCAAGAGCCAACGTATCAACAAGGACATTTCCAAACAGTCCAGCCACGATAGCAACTAGACCATTTCCAAGAAATATAGCCTTTGAGAATGTCAATGATAGCCATTGTTGATCAAAGCCCCTCTGACACATTAATGTTTAAAAAAAAAAAAAAGGCAGTTGAGATTCACAAATAAAAGATGCAACATGAAGGATATCAAGACAAAAATCAAAAACATTGTAAAAACCATTTGTCACAGATTTTGAGGGTAAAAATGTATTTTGATGACCAAAAATCATTTCATTGTGCACTTGGAAGGTATTTAAATTTTAAAAATGCATTTTCACCTAATTTAGAGAGACATAATAGCTAACTTATAAAACAAGGAAATCAGGATCTTTCGGAGTAAACATAATTTGCAGAAACGGATTAATTCAGAGAACATGAGATTCTACAGTAGAGAAGCAACAATAATAAAGCATAATAAACATCTAGAGGACACTATTGGAAACTTATTGATATAAAAACCTAAATTGAAAACAATAAAGATATCAAATTTCAGATGTCATCAAGTAGTCTTGCTTCTGGGGTTAATCAATTTTAATAAGTGGCACATAGCATGGAAATTAAACCATGCAACATTCTACAGAAAGAAACTAGTGCATTAGCTTTTGTTGATAGAGAAAAGTGAAAGCATATGCTGAAAATTGTGTGTCTCGACTACACTGTGGACTCTTATATAACGAATATAATAAATACAAGGATACAATTTTCCAAAGACATAATGATCTAACTAACAGCTAGTTCTGTCAAGAAGTTCATATAATCCAATGTAAGTACTACATACAAGACTAGCCCAATTTACAAAACAATCAAGTTAACATTAACAATTTGAGGATATAACACCCATTCTTGTGCCAATGGCAGTTATAATTACACTTTATTATTCAAGTCATCTACAGCCTCCAAACACAAAGAAAAATCTTATTACCATTTTTATAAGTCCATGAGTTCCTTCAAATATTAGGCACTTCTTGTGTGTCTAAAATCAACACATCCGGAGGAAAGTTTCATAACAAATAGGATATAACTTTTAAACAAAAAATTATCCCTCACCTTGTTGTGCTCAGCAACAAGCCACGATTCAAATGCTGAAAACAGAAGTGAAGTAGCAATACCTCCCAAAATACGCCCCAACATCAAGACTTTGTATTGAGGAGAATGTTTGGTGATGCAGCTCAAAATATATGTTATACAATAAGTGACACAAGCCCTCTTCCGGCCCCTGATTTCAAGATAAGAAGCGTGAGATACTGAAAAATGCTATGACATATATGTGGCATGATGAAATAAGTAAACAAAAAGGCATCTCACGTTTTGTCAGCTAGAGATCCCACAATTGTTCCAAACAGCATGGAAGACCCAAAACCAGCAATGAACAGTTGACCTATCTCTCCTTTCCCATATCCATATGTGCTGTAAAGGTAGTAGACATAAGGACCTTGCAACCAATCTCCAGCTATAGCCATAGAAACAGCAACCTATTAGATTACCAAAAACTAGCAATAGTAACTTCAATCGAAACTTTTCTTTTTCGTCAATTACACTAGCACATATGCAATTGTAGACAAACTACAAACAGAACTATCTCTGCTAACAATTGCTAGAGTACAATCAGTGCATTTTCGGTTGAGCAATATATTCACCAACAACAATGTCGTCCAAATCATAACTCAATGATTAAATAACATGAATTCAATCGACCCCTGTAAAGAACCTTGGGATATACCACCCCAAAAGCTAGCTCAAAGGGTGAGAGTGCCCAAGGTCTTATAAACTCTCACATTAGTTGCTCTTCAACTAATGTGGGACTATATATCTCAACACGCGCCCTCACGCAAGAGCCCTCTTGGCTTGAAGCGTGGATTATGCAACTGCCCAATCTTTGGTTTACCGTTTTTTTTTGTGCTTCCACTTTAAAGTGGGGGGCGGTGAAGATCGAACCTCAAGCTCTGATACCATGTAAAGAACCTTGGGATATACCACCCCAAAAGCTAGCTCAAAGGGTGGGAGTGCCCAAGGTCTTATAAACTCCCACATTAGTTGCTCTTCAACTAACGTGGGACTATATATCTCAACATTTTGAGGGATAACTGAGCTAAAGGAAAACTTTCAATTCAAATATGATCTCAGCGAACATCATCATAATTTGAAGGATCACTAATGACGTATAAATAAAATAGTGAACTTAGTAAAACATTAAGGATAGCATAAATAAGTAAAGTGTCGCGTAAACAGCTATTCTCAAACCAAAAAAGAGAAAATCACAATTTCCAAAACCATTACACACGTCACTGTTGTCACAAGCAACCAAAGCTAATAAGATCACACGGCAGCAACACTTGTCCATGTCGAGATTACATCAGGATCCGTCTCAAACGTTACGATTTCTCACTAGTCTCAATTTTACAAACAATTGCTTTTTCTTTTTTCTTTTTCTTTTTTTTGTAATAATTAATATTTTGTCGTGAAGCAATAAAACCAAACGAAACAAACCATTGGATAAACAGTTGCTGTTTTTTTAAAAAAAAAAATCGCAATAATATGCATAAGAACGCGTTCACGAGCATTACATCCTTTTGAATTCATAAATCAAACACAGCACAAAGAATGTTGACGAAATCAGGCGCAGATCAAAGGAGAAAAGCACAATAATACAAGTGAAAGTAGCATATCGAGGGAGAAAATGGAAAAGGAGGAGATCCAACGGACGAGATCTGAGAGAGAATAGAAGAAAAAAGACAGATCTAAGGGTAGAGGTTACCCATCATGAGGGAATAAACGATGAGGTAATTGTTCTTGAATGAATTGAATGCTGAAGAGGTGTTGATTCGATCCTTGTTGTTCTTGCTGAGCTCAAGAGCTGCCACCACCGCGGCCAAACCACCGAACACGGTGTAGAAGAACAACTCCATTTTCGTGATCTCAGAATGCGACTGCTACAGAAATGGAATGAATGCCCAAAGGCACTGAGATACCACGAGTGATGAAAGACAGAGTAAGAGGAGGAGCGTTCATATATAGTGGCTCAAAACGCTAGGCTGTGATCAGATGCGACGCTACAACTCTACTATCATAAAACTGGCTTAAACGGTTGTGCTTCTAACCTGAGGTATAAATAAGCTAATCCGTCATTTAAATAAGTTAGTTCTGTAAAATATTTTTGATCCGATCTGACTTAATAACATTGTATATGCTTAAAATATAAGTTTGATCTAATTTATATTTAAAAATGAAAATATTGATTAAGTCCATAGCTTATTTAAATTTATTAGATATTTAATAATTAAAATAATATTATTTTATGGATTTGGTGTTTATCATTTTAAGAGAGAGATAGACACAAGGAATGAAAATCATAAGAGAGAAAGTGAATGATTTTTTTTTTAATTTAAATTTGAAATAAAAAAATTTCTTGTGTCTATCTCTCTTAAAATGACATAACTTTATGTCATTTAAAATGACAAATTTTTTTTTCTTATTTTATTATTTAAAATTATTAAAAAAAATTAATAATTTTATGTAAAAGCATCTGACTCATTTAAATCCTTGTTTTTTATTCTCGATTTTTGTTTATTTATGCTTTGACTCCGTGTAAATCTGCTTTGCAAATGGCAAACATGGACATTATCAATTATATGCGTTTATTATTGGACGAGATTGGCGGGAGAATTTAGCCTTATATTTTAGTTTAGTTAATTTTTCACATTTGGATGTGTCTTAATGACTTAATTTATAACAGAATCAACATTAAGTTAATTTGACATTTTAGTATAATGGAAAAAAGTGAATATTATATATATAAATAAGTCATAAAATTCTAAAAATTTAAACTAAAAGTAAAATTGTTTTATAATATATATTTTGAAATGAATTACATCAATATAAATATATTAATATGTTATACGAAAATATTAATTTAAGTCAAAAAAAAGTATCATGTAATTATTAAAATAATCATAATTTTTGAAGTATTATATAACATCAAACTGACTAAAATTAATTTCAAGTGTGACGAAATTGGACTTTAAAAAAGACTAAAATCTAATTTATAAAACTTAAACTAGTTTGATTTAACTTCAGGTTAAGACAGATTATCGGGGTAGAATGGGTCTTGATCAATCTAAATTCGTGCCTTCATTTTCACTAATTAATTCATGAACCAAGGTCACGCTAATAAATACCTACCAAGATCTGGATTAATGAAAAATTATTAATAAAAAAAAAACTTAAAATTCTTTTATGAATACTATTGCACATTTGCACCACACAAAGTAAGTTATTATAATAAGAATTTTTTTCAATCATTAAAATTCTTAATGGCGTTTGAAAAATTAAGTAAATTTATCTTTCGATTAAAGGTAAGAGAGCTAAAAAAAATTCATATTCAATTTGTCATTAATGATTTTTTACACAAATATTTTAAAATGATAACAAGAATTTCACAATATCAACAAAACTCACTTTTTAATGAATAATAATAGTAAATTAGTAACAACAACAATACAAAGTTATTGGGTTAATGAGGAAAAAAAATATCTAGTAATAATAATTCATGAAGATGTGAAGAAGCGTAAGACGCGTGAAATAGGGGAGGGTGATGCTGCATAGGATAATGAGGTGGACGACGACGCGGTTTGCTGTTGATAAACTCATTATCGTCGTTTAACTAAAAATAGGATGACACGTGGAAACATGTGAGACGTTTGATTAATATTGAATACAGGAGGTAGGTAGTGTCGGTGGCTATGGCCTATGGGCTTTGGAGCTGCAGAGAGGCGCTCCAAGCGGCGAGGTCTCGGATCTAGTACTCTGCAAAAGCATTAAAGTAAGTAAGATGTCCAGTGGACCCCACCTTCCCGTCCTTGCTTTAATTGCAAGATATATTTTAATTTTGTTTTTTGTTTTTTTTTTTATTTTGGAAGGGCATAAGATCAAACAACAAAAAACTAAAAGTAAATACCATTTTTCGTTCCAGGAAATTTTTGCGAAGCACAATTTAGTCCCTCGGTTTAAAAAAGTCACATTTCAATGTCTGATTTTTAAAAAAAAAGGGACACATTTATCCTTCTGTTAAATCCAATGTGACGGCCCACTTGACGGACGCCAGTTGGAACGTTAAGTGGTTGAGTCACTAACATCCTGGCCACGTGGAGAGAAAACGACGTCGTTTAGATAGGTCCCTTGTGTCTAGTTGGATGTTTGGACATGTGACTGTTGCATTAAAGGGTGAATGACCCAATATAGTCCCTGTCAAATTAGAAACCCTAAAGGGTGAGTATGTCATCTGGCTTGGGGGGATGAAGTGGGACTACGTCTTTTGGGTGTCAGATGTTGGTGAGCAAGAACTGAGTATGAATGAAGTGGGACTACGTTCTTGTCACTAACTGATTCTTACTTTCTTGAACAACCTGACAGAATGGAGGTCGAAGGTGCAAGATGTTGGTGAGCAAGAACTGAGTATGAATGTGCAGGAAAGAATGTTGTGATGATTGCAAGTGTTGTAACAATGAAATGTTATGTACGAAATGTAGTTTTTCTTCAATGAAATTGAATGACTTGCTGAAAACTGCGATGAATAAAGTTGAGAAGATGCAATGAAGTTCTGTTATTTGGGCTATAAAATGTGTTTATGTGTATAATGCTAACTTCATGCTTCAATACAGTAAATGTCAAATTTGTTGCTGCAAATGGGAATTTGAGAACTGCATATTGGAACCTAATGATTTAAACTAGACCCCAACTTAGTCCCTGGAACTATGTATCGAGGGCCAAATAGGTCCTTGCAAAATGCTATCGGGGCACGTTTTGGTCCCTGACAGTTAAAATTTGGACATGACCTGTTTAGACTATATTGGACACAAGCTGCAACTTAAAAGCTGCATTTTAAAACCTGCATTTTAATCCATGACACATTGGATTGCAGCATAAGCCAGATTGCAGCAAATGACAGTACATAATTGAATTCAGCAAAGGAACTTGTAGTAAAAAATGCAGCAAAAGAAACTTGTAGTCAATGAAGATATCAGACAGTACAGAGACATAATGATGCAAAAATTAGACATGAACATATTGCATTGAATTGTGTCCAAACAGCAACGACCAAAACCCAAACATCAACCACCTGCATTGTAGGCAGAATCAAAAAGACTCATACACAAATTCAAAAATAACCATACAGATACATATCGCAGCAAAGAGAAAAAACTGATATAAAAAAGAAACTTGTAGTCATTCATAATGGAACTTGTAGTCGGTTACAATTCAAAACTCTTCCATCATAATTAAAAGCTTGCCAGAAGTTATGGTCCACATAAACCATTCTAAACCATCCTTCAAACTATTCCCCTGTTGTTTTTTTTGCTTCAAAATACTCCCAGACAGAGACATATTGTGATTCAAAAAAAAAAAAGCATACACTTCAGTTAAATGTCTTAAATACAAAAAATGGGGGTACCAAAAGTTACAGTCATGAACATTGTTGCCTATACAACAAAAAAGTGAACCCCTATACAAAAAAACTGTATCCAGATTTCATTCAAGCTGGTCTTGGTGGCCTAAACCCAGGTGTGGCCATGAATGTCATAAGCCTGCTCCTTGTGCCACTGCTTGTTGCATTGACAGTTTCAGTTGACAATTGTTCTGCTGGTGGTGGGCTGTTGCCCCTAATGGCTTCATCAGGTGCCTGGGACTGCCTTGAAGGTCCTCCTTGACTCAGAGGGATCTCCTCTTCATGTCGAGCTGCTATGTTGACATTAACTGCATGTGAAGGTGCTGCTGTTATCCTCCCTCTCTTGCTTGTAGCTGGTCCCTTACAGGTCTTGGCATAATGACCAGATTGCCCACATTTACCACAAACTGCAGCACGTGCCCTCTTTAATTTTTTTGTTTTGCTCACTTGCTCCTCAGTTTCATCCTTCTTCCTATGTTTTTTCGGACGGCCAATAGGCCTTTTCAGTGGTGGAGGAATGAGTTTAGGCTCAGATGATGCAGGCCAATACTGTTCCGAATTTACAGGGTTCAAAGTATGTGCATAAGTGGCATGCAAAGCATCCACTGTCAGCCATTGATGGACATAAAGCTCTGCTGGTTCATTCTTGTGGCATATTGCAGCAATTGCATGCTCACATGGCATTCCTGTGAGCTGCCAGACATTACATGCACAAGTCTTATAGGTAAGATTGACACCAACCCTTTCACCCTGTGCAGTCACTTCATATAAGTCTTGCTCCAAGTTCCCTGTCCAAGTTGGTGTCCAGGAGTTGCTTAACACCTTCAATTGATCCAGCTTTTTCTGTTGAGCTGGGGCAATTTTACCCCTAACAGTACCTAGAATTCGTTGATGGGCAGTCATTCTCCTCATGATATAGCATCTTAGTTCTTCACATAGGCTGACAATGGGCTTGGACCTGTATGCAACAATTTTTGCATTCCACACCTCAGCCATGTTGTTGGTTATATTGTCACACTTGGTTCAGTGACTAAAATATGCCTTAACCCAGCATGAGGGGTGAATCTTGTTGAGGTATGCCCAAGCATCTTCATTCAACTCCTTCAATTTATCCATTGTTCTTTGGAATTGGGGCACAGTTGTGCATCGTGCAGCCTCTCATACTATTCCTCTAATGGCTTTGTCCTTCCATTGCTTAATAAAATTCTTCCACACGTGCTGCACACGGAACCTATGATGGGCACCAGGCATGACCTCCTGTAATGCTGGTATCAAACCCTGCATCCATATATCAAGCAACAACAAAAGTGATCACACATGGCTAGTAATGTACAACTTTTAAAAAAGGAAAATACCTTTGAAAAAACATAACTTTTGCTGATCACTTATGAAGTTCCATCCATGCACTACACAACTGGCAATGTCTTCTTGTAGCAAGGTCAGAAACCACTTCCAATTTTCTTTGGTCTCACTGTCAACAACTGCAAAAGCAATGACATAAAAGCTCTTGTTTGCATCCTCTCCCACTGCACTCAATAGTTGTC